AAGGACAACTCGACCAGCGAGTGTACCGTGAAGGGACATGCGTTGGGTGGGCGATGTAGGTGAGGATCAACCTGAGGAAAGAAGGGAAAGGTGAAAGAAGAAGCAGAAGGAGGGATCTATTTAACGTTATGCCACGGAGCATACTCGGCCAAGGAGCGGGTGTGGTCTCCCTGACCCCGTGAAGGAACGCAGCAAGGGAAGCGCGACGCACGCTTTGGCGTCCTCCCTACGTAATACTGAGCTCTGAGCTCAGGACACGCCTTGCACTAACTGTCCAAAGTAGAACTGCCTGAGAGTTCCAGACTCTCAGACAGCAAGCACGTAGCCAGCAGATCCGTGCGCAGCCGCACAGCTACAGTTGCCCAGTGCGACACGCTCACAAGGACCAGACCTGCGCCATAAAGCAAGCCAGAAGCGGAGTCAAAGCTCATGCACCTTCAAGGCGCAGCCACCCGATCATTGCTCTCCTTTTCCGTCATTCTACACAGGGCACGTTCACCACCGGCTTGTTGCATGCCAGTGTGTGCTGTGTACATACGAAGTTTTGCGGCTGTCTCTCTATACATACCTAGAGAAGTTGCTCAGTGGCAGACCTGCTTTTACGGCTTGCACATATTCTATTACATCACAGTCCGAACAATTCGGAAGCGGCTCGGGATCAGGCTGTGCCGCCTGAAGCGCTCAAAAGGCGCAGTCCTGACTGAGATCTAAATGGCCTCTTTTCAAAATTTACCCACCTAGGTATCAGGTGCACGTGCACAGGTGGAGGGCATGCAGGACGCGGAAGCCCTAAAACAGAACGTTCCAAAACTTTAGGTTTTGGGCACACCATTCACAACTCACATCTCCGTAATGATCGCATGCTTATGTGTACAACAATATGATGCACCACAAAGCCATGGCTCACGCTTGGTCCTCTCACGATGAGAACGTGCATGCTGCGTTGCTAAGGGCGGCACTACCCAACTCCTTGAGTTTGCTCTGGAACATGACCTTGCTCCCCTCCTTCCACATCTCTGTCACAATCGTCTGCCCGGAATGGTGTGACAGACAGCACAGCACTGCTTTCTCTCCGAAATGTGGAACGTCAAATTGGTTCTCCAATTTGGCTAATTTCCTGAAAGGGGCTCCAGGAACAATTGATACATCAAGTACTCCCATGACGTGTGAGCACATGATCCTTGGGATATGCAGATTGGAAGGTTGGCCTCCAGGCATTGGACAAGTGTGAGAGTAGCGCCTGCGACACCTACTGTGCGCTAACTCGTTCTACCGACGGCGTTTGCATGCGGGACCGCATCGTCTCTCTCTCGTAGCGAAGATGATCGGCGCGACTCAGGTGTAATCTGCAGCCGGCGGCAGGGGGTGGTCTCCTAACTGCGGCGCGCTCGGTCTCGCTGCAAGAAAGGCGCACCGTGCTAACGTCGCTGAATTGAAAAACATGGGAAGAAATCCGCCGTTCCGCACCATGGGATACGCAGCATTTGTATTGGCACGTGGAACCTATAGATTATAAGATCAAAGCGACGTGCAATATGCCCCATGCGTTCCCTTGTTACCTCTTTCGCACCCCGTGGCCTTTGTCTGCCTTGCCTTTTACCTCCCCCATCGTCCGCTCGCCGCCTCCTCTGCTTCCCAGGATGCCGCTCGCTCTTTGGCTGCTGTCGCTCGTCCCTAGCCTAGCCTCACGATGAGCATCATGACCTGAGCTTTGCCTGGGCGTGTGTGATTGACACTCACCAGCATCAATATCAAGGCGGCACGGGAAGGAGTACATCCGAGTCGCAGAGAGTGTACTGTGATGCCGTGCGCTTGCCGCTCGCAAAAAATTTGTCTCGAAGTTGCTCGCTTGCGCCTGATCTCTCCGGCCCAAGTCCTTGCAAGAAGTCAAAGGCGGTTCAGAAACAAGCTGCATTCTCGTGGCACTGACGACTGACGATAGGTTCACTCAAAGAGACCGTGTCCTGCGCACGTGTACAGAGGCCTTGAGACGAGGCTGAGGAAGGTCTCTGTGTGAAAGCGGGGTAGTGGAAGGGGAAAGTCTTTTGCGGCCAAGCACACACCCATTCGTCCCCAAGCCACGCTCTTGCGCTCCTGACGGCCAAAGTCAAAAAGGTGAAACTTGAACGGCGAAGGGCGTGTACAAGCTTGCAACTTCGTTACAGACTGAGGAGACAAGCCCATATTCGGATCACAGGGTTGGCTGGCTGGTTGTGGGACGCATACCCTGCTCGAACCATTCGACCATCGGCTGTTACCTCCAAGCAGATACTTTACAATGTGCAGCGCGTCTATTCATGCGCGACTATTTGACATGCACGAATACGCCACCATTCGGGGAGACTACCGCTAAGCCCTACTGCTTGCCCCCCCCTGACCCTTTCTGTGTATGTCCATACTCTTGCCGCTTTAATCCGGACCCCCCTCCCCCAAATATCAAGACTTTCCAGCAAGATAGCTCCTCGTCGGCTAGGCGGACAACCGGGCGAGCGGGCGAGCGGGCGATCTTTTTTGTTCGGCAACATGGACTGGAAGAGAGCATTGGCCTTGTTCTGGAATGTCGTGGGGGACATGGGCTCGGTGCTCTGTGGCGCATAGTGGCCGGGCTGATCTTAATGGCCATTGAAGCCAGAGCCGGGGAGCTTGTCGCTTTGCAGTTGGTGGATGTTCTTTCTTCCGGGGTCCTGTGGTAGCGGGTGAGAGGAAAGTGCAGTTGACAGTCCTCAGGAGCCTCTGATGGAACGTATGCACGTCCAGCATAAAAGTAATGTTCTCACATTCAGGAAACAGCTGATGCATTTGCTAGTGCCTTGCTGCGCGAGGATCTTACCCGACTGGCCCCACATCTTGCGGGCTGCTGAGAATTGCGATATACATTGCAAGTGTCGGTTAAAGAGTGAGGGGAAAGAGCAAATAAGAGAAGAGCGCGACAACACATGGCGGAAGATGCATGGTCATCGATAATGACGCATAACGACGATGGCATCCGCGTCATGGACTGTGCAACGATTCGCAGGTTTGGAACCGCCTTGTTGGCATTTCCGACTCAGAAAACGGAGGCAGCAAATGCTCTGGCGCACCAAGCGAGAGCGCAGAGCCACAACAGGTGAAAGGCGCGCTTGTTCGTCGAGGCTCTGACCAACGGCATCTTGCAAAGACAGGTTTTGTGGACAAACCAGACCAGCCTGCAGCAAAAGGGATGGACATAGGGAACGCGCGCAAGTGAGGTGTGCAGGGCAGAACAGACTGACCGGCGCCTGCTTCTGTGAGGACAAGCTTGGATCAAGATGGATACCGAGAAGGGAGAAATGAATAACAAATACTGGCCGACGTCGTATTTATGTGCTTTCCGGCAGTCCACTGGCAGAACTGCAACGTTTCCGACAAACCATGTGCGATTGCGGCAGGCATGCCCCTACGTCTAGAGGGCTGGCCGTTCGGGTCTGCGGCTCCGGTACCGCCGTGGGGACTGCGGACGGATAGGGCGATCATGCTAACTTTTCATCATCAAGCATCCCATAAACAAAGGCCTGGAGGGTCCACGGAGCACCGGAAGCACAAAAGCACACACGCAGATGGTCTGGCACATATACACATATAGGCGTGCGCGACTACACGTGGCGCTGCATGACGTATCAAACCCATATGCATGATGGCATACGTCTTCGACCACTAGTGGCACGGCATGGTGTATCAAACCCGTACGCATGCATGCCTGCGGTCGGGGATCATAGAAGAGCTGGAGAGCACTTTGTCGGCTCTCCTTTCAGAATCTAAGTTCGTGAGTCTCTCAGCCTCGCTTCCGGGGAGATGGGCAGACGGTGGAGTCCCGCGATTCGGGGTCTTATTAGAGAAATGGAAGAGTCTGTGCCTGGCAATTAAACACATTTCAACGTGGGCGCAAGTGTGACGCGCGAGGTGTCTCACTCGACAAGAGCCAAAAGCTATGTCCGGGGCCGTCCGCTGGCTCGTCGTTGTGCTCACTCACTCATAGCCACTGTGCACGTCCAGAAGAGCTAGCATCCGCACCTTCGCGCTTGCAGTGCCACTGTTTCAGTATAAGCCCAAAATGATAATCCGCGCTGACCATTGCAGCCCGAGCCCTTCCTCCACACACCCACCAATCTGGTACATCCACACTGACTCCTTATCTCCGCACTGTCTGCCCAGCGTGCGCGTGTCGACCTCTCCAGCCAGATCGGGAGGAAGCTAAGTGTCCTGTCGATAAGGCGGTGCAATGGAGCAGAAGTCAACAGGCTGGTAGCGTGAGCAGCAGTCCATCAAACGAGGCTCAGCTCGATTTCCTGTACGTGAACGACCGGCCGGTACGAAGAGCTCGAGAACGGGATAATGTGATCATCTTGGTTTTCTTTGCAAACAGCAAGTTCCTCGCTCGCAACAAGGCTCTGTCCCTATTTAAGGACATTACCTACACCTCACCCCTGTCCACCAGTGCCTCCCTTCGCGTTGATACTCTTTAGGCTTTCGCTAGCTCCGCTCTCGCGCGCGCTATGTCGTGCACCTCGACGCGCTGTGCTCGGCGCAGGATGACGCTATAGACAACGATAACGACGCTGCGAAAGAAGCGAGCGAAGAGCTGAAATGTGCCGGCCCGCTGCGTACCGCGCTCGACCCGGAACGCTTTGCCCAATATTACGAACAGCCGCTGTCAGCAGTGTTCGCGCGGGGGGTATCCTAAAATCTGCTCGAGTTGAACGAGCAGATAAGCAGTAAAGCGAAGCACGTCGTTCCTGGCCTCACAGCGCCCCTCGCCAAGAAGAAGGAAAGCAGCAAAATGTAACAGTCGCTGCGCCCGATACTGGGACCTTCCTCGCACTTCTGTGAGTAGCAATACCACAAATACCGACTCGCGACTCGAAACTCTCCGCTGATCTCACACATGTTCCTGCCTTGCATGTCGAGAATTCCTCGCCGCTGGAAAACGTGGACCCCGCTCAGCGCTATTTGTATTGGCACAGGTTGATGTCTGCAACGTTTAGATCAGCTTCGTGTTGGGATTTGCAGCTTGCAATTTCTTGCGCTTGTGGCCGGTATGCGTGAGCCTCTACGATGCACCGCTTCTACCCCCCTTCAACTCGTCTCTGAGCTTGAGAAAGCAGTCCCAAGCTGCACATCAAAAGGTAGAGCCCCATGGTCTTACATGCTCGCCCAGAAACGGCCCAGCTTCGCCACTTGAGCAAACGAAGGGCCTGGAGATGTGTGGCCAATCGATCGCTACTGACATCCAACTCGCATCACTTGATTCTACAGCTCCTCATCGCAACCTCGAACGGAGTTGACGGGAAGAGCATGTGGCTTGTCGTTAGTTCGGGACTGCAACGCCTCGCCTTTCTAAACTGTCCAGTCGATCACCTGAGGGATCATTTCAGACTACACACCAGCCACCTACCCAATCATTGCTGTGGTAGCCGTCTCGATGAGACTGACTGGCAGGAGAACATCCAGAGAATGATTATCCGAGCTCATTTGCTTTCCGCCATCTTGCTAGGGAACGTCAGAGGGTGGAGTGATGAGGTTTTGAGAATTGTCGAGAATTTGAAGAGAGCCTACATGCAGGCCCGGTTACTTAATGCTTGCGCGACGCGCACGAAAGCGGTCCTGTCGGGAAACACGGCTTTCGGTGGTGCGATCTCTTCTGGTCTTGCTCTCCTGAGGTTGGACGGATCGGTTCCGATTCAAAATCTCAAAATCACCTGCTAATAAGTGGAGCAGGACCAATGGATGCGATTGAGCGTCCTTCCAAATGACGGCTTCGACATTTGATGGTCTTGTGTTTCATTCTAGCTCGTAGGCTTCGTATAGTGAAGATGAGCCTCGCCTCCAACAAACACCGCCTCTGCCCAAATCTGTTCCATTGATTCAACCTACACTCGACGCTGTGTGCCCTGCCCCTTTCAAAACCAGGAGAACTCAAAGTTAACCCCCTCACCATGCCGTACAAAACGCTTAGTGAAGGACGCATAGAGCTTGATTGATACCTACCGGATGCAGCAGATGGCTAGTTCTGGACACGGACGATATGTGGTCTTTTTGTCCTTGGGATTTGGCTCCAAGATAAATTGCAAAATGCACATTCGCCTGGGCGGATTCTTGCAACGTATCAGGACGTTCAGTCTTCCTGTTCGATAGCTGAATCCCTGCATGTCAATTACACGTTGTTGGACAGTCCTGTCTGTGTATCTACTGCATCTACCCTATTCTGACCATGTGGCAAACAGACGCACCACAGTTTTACAAGAAGCTAAAGCCCGTGTCATGACCTGCCTCTCTAACAGCTGAAAGAGACGAGAGTATCCCTCCCTGATTACGCAAAGAGTGCTTTCTCAATCCCTCTGGTCCAGTCAAAAGCTGTGCACCCCGGCAGTCAACTAAGTTTATGGATTCATCTACAGCTAACACCGATAAAATCTGTCCGCGACTGGTCCTTCCACCAGGTGCGGCATCGAGTGAAATCAGTATGACCAGTCTCATCAAGAAGGGGGCCTGTAGCACGGCCCCAATGTACACATCGCATCCAGTACAGGGGACGACCATGTGCCGTGCTCACAAAACAAGCTCGCAGTCAAACCCCTCATGGAGGCTGGCTTACAATGGTCTGTGGACATTTGGGAGAGCCACCTGGTCGACATGGCTCCCGAGGCCAAGTTGCAAACCCGTGGCCAGCCATGGCAAAACCACTTCAATAGGCAGAATTCGCATGTTTCCGACACGTAAATTACAATTAGCTTCACATTTCGTTGTAATCTGCTCGTCCGTAGCACTCAAGAAAGCGGACCTCTGAATGTGACCACCACTCTATGCGCTCTTTAACAGTAGCAGCACCAGGCATGACCACGCTCCTCCAAAATGCCAACTCGCCGAGCATTTTCACCATCACATCGCGAGAACCCGAGCCGTTTGCATCACCTATCTGCGCCGCGTCTCCCAAAGCGAGAACTGGTAGTTGTTCCAATGATACTTCCTTCTGCGGGCCGATCGAGCGCATTGATTGCACCGTCGGCCAGTCCTGCATTCCTTCTCCCCGGATGAACGCACCCCAAGAGCCCATCAGCCGCTGGCACAACTCCAACTCATGGGCTTGGAAGGGCGTCCCTAAACGTGGTGGGGCAGATGGTGGTGCGCCAACGGCAACACCGTACACGTCGCCAGGATGTCGAGTGTGAGGTTCTGTACCGTCGAAGCCAAAGGCGTACGGTACGTCGCCAGTGTGCATGCACCCGAAGTACTCTCCAATAACTTCTGCTGCGTTTGTCGTCGCCATCAAGGCAGGCGGGGATGTACGGAGGGCATAGCACTGCGCGTGGGTTGGAGGACTCAGTGGATCGTTGGCTAGCCTGTGAACCAAGGACAGAATGTTAGCGTGGAAAAGACTGTCCCCAATGTAAGCTGAGGCAACCGCCGACGCGTGATGCTCTGAGTCGACATGTTCGAGGTCATAAAGATGCCGAATGGTTTCGTGATTGTGTGCGTTGGATTTGAGGATTTCCCGCTTGAGAATTTCTGGGTCGAGTAGCTGAAGTGTGTACATAGAGCCCTCGTCAACCGTCCAACCAACTACTATGCCTTGCCCACCGTTGCCATTCAAGTACCCGCACTTGGCGTCGTTTCTCCAGTCTGTGCTGACCATCACGCCATCGCAGATGGGGCCCCAGGCATTTAGAGGCTCAAGCAAAGTCTTTTGAGGTCGGATGGGGGGCCGATGTGGGCGACCATGCTGATATTCGGTTCTCGGGTGCCTCGTCGGCAGCAAAGGAGATAAGGCATACGTGAGCTCTTGGTGGCTGCACCGTCTCAGAGCCCCCACCTGCTCTTCTGCAGCAGCCTGCATGAGAGCTGGCCTCAGTTGAGTG